AATGAAGAAATGAAGTGGAAAAATAAGACACTTACAAATAAAAATAAATAAGTTCAAAATACTTCAACACATCTACCATGATAGATTCAGGGTGACTATCATCTCTTTCTGTACACATAGGCTCGGTTTACGAACTCTAATCGGACATGCTTCCACAATTGCAAGCATTTTCTTATTCCGTTGTCTGCTGACAACCGAGAAGGCTTTAGTGGTGTCAGCATCATTTCGATAATCCACTAAGTGTTTCGTAATCGAATTCAGTGGGATGTTTGACTCAGCTTGCCTCAACCATTTAGGTAAATACTCAACCATGCGAGTGGACAGACGCCTTTCCGTACGACCTGTGTATTTACTTCCACAAGTACATTCAAATTGGTATATACAGTTAGATGTGTCGAGGATTCGAGTCATATCTTTTCTTGAATGCTGCAACACTCTCCTGGGGGTGCTCAGAATTTCTAACTTAGCTGCACAATAAGTTCTTTTGAAGGCCTTATCTAGTCTCTGCTTAAAGACTTCTAAGATATCGTCTTCTTTAAAAGGTAGTTTGATAAATACCTGCTTTTTTCGGAGCCGTAAGAGCTGCTGTTTCGCATTGTTTACTTTTCGAGTACTTATTGACAAAGTTTTGAAGGTAAGCATATTTAACTAGGATATGGTTCAATGTTTTAGTTTCATAACCAATGGTACTCTCAGAACAAGTTTTCTTTGCTCTATCAAATAGGGTTTTGACTAAGTTCCTTTTATACTGAAGTGGAACAAAACCCTTGAAGTGGAGATAGATATTGTCCAGACCATGAAGGCTTTCTGTGGATGGATCTTTCTATAGATCCATCATTCCTTTTTAATAAGGAAACGTCTATGAAGTTGATATGATCATTTTCTTGGTGTTCAGCTGTGAATTTGAGGTTTACGTGACAAGAGTTAAAGTTCTTCAGCAGGGTTTCTGCTTCCACCTTACATTTGCATACAATAAAAATACCATCCATGTACCGCTGGTACATTCCCGTCTGTTCTATCAATTTCTTAAGGTTAATAGCCTTCAAACTTGAGAGAAATAAGTCATCAAAAAGTAGTCCCAACGGGCTTTCCATTGTGACGCCGTCAATCTGACGATATAACTGACCGTCGAACTGGGACTGAATATTTTTGGCACACAGTAGTAACAATTTCCACAGTTCTTCCTTGGGAATGGGTATATCACTAATATCTTTGCATATATAAGTTCAATAGTTTCGATAACCGGGACATTTGTGAATAAAGAGACAATATCAAATGATACAAGGTGCTTACCAGTACCGTTTAAGTTAGCAACATTTTGGGAAAACTGATATGTATCCGAGACAGTATGTTTTCCATAACGTTTACGTAACGGTTCTAGTATCGTACATACCCACTGAGTCACCTTGTGTGAATGAGCCTTCTTGAATATCTGGGCTACTAAATTTTCCATCTGTCATATTGAATCAAATTATCAATAAATTGTTTCGGTTGAATCATTGTATTATTTTCTCTGATCGCACTATATATTCACTCACATTTTTCAGAGTCTTACGGCCTTCTGCGATGCTAATATCACATAGCCTGAGGAAAAAGCATCACGGTTGATGATAATGAGCTTTGAAGCTGATAACCTTATCTGAAATGACTCTACCTGAAATTATAAGCACGAACTGCAGGTCACTTGAATGACAAGTGGATTACTTACAATATCTTTTGTCATCAGATGTGTACCCGAATTCTGAAGTACTTACACCAAGAAACTTGGTGACATGAACTTTATGATGGCAATTTGATTTCTGTGAATGATTTCAAAATTTTCCGTCAAGATCGATGTAGCTCTACTAAGAATAGCTACCTTCATCATTGTGCATTGGTTCATTTCGAGTTACACTTGCTTCAAAATCTCTTATGACCATATAGACTGCATCACTTTGAAATGCCGTCCAAATCATTTCAACAAATGTCGCTTTATTTATATAACAAATATTTATGTAACACCTGGTTGCGATTTCTCCGAGGTATCGAAATCCTCTGATATTTTCACAGAATTCACAGCCCCCATACTCTGTGGTTCCCTGTCGACAATATGTGGCAATTTCAACTCTTGTGACCAAATCTTTCTCAAAACAGACCTAAATAAGACCAATAATCTAGAAAAAAACTCGACTATTTTAGTGCATGCATTAACACAACCACAGAAGAGTGTGAGATAAAACCACTGTACTTAAGCTGAATATAATAAGGTGGAGAGAGAGATTGACTATTGAATCTTTGTTCAGCGAATCAACACCCAACGGATGTAATAGAAATGACGCAACACCTATACCAGATATATAGAAAACTTTGCTACCATTAAAAACAACTCATATAGAGTGACATAACTATAAAAATCAAATGTCGAAAGTAGTGGGATTACATTGATATTATTATGAGCAATAATTTATGCTCGAAACGTCATTAAGTAAATAATACTATATCACTGTGTGTTATAAATCAGATAAACAAATCTAATATGGAATTAAATTCTACCACAGCTCCCAAGTCTTACATCTATATTAACTTTCTCAAAACTCTTGGTCATCAAAACATCGTTAACTTCACAACACGTCAGGATGCAACACTAGACTTGGTATCCGTCAATGATACTGATATATATGAAACTCGAAAGAGATCCCCACTGCTCAGCTCGGATCGTTGCCTTGTACGTGTTTTGCCCAAAATATATGGCAAACTTCACAAAACAGCTTTCACATATAAGAAGATTGTGCATAGAAACTATTCACTTAGTAACATACTTAATCTAAGAGAAATGCTTCAATGTACAGACTGGAATATATTTGACAGTGATGATTTGAATGATACTATTGATGGTGCCTAGATATATGTTGCTCAAGTGAAAAGCTTTTTCTGCGCCTCGATCGTATATCCTCTTCCCAACTTAAAAAATCTAACAAGAGAAAATGAAAGACCATATAAAGTAAGTGATAATGCTGATGCTTGTCGATTGGACGTTTTAATTAGGTTGGAAATTAGACGTCTGAGTCTACCACACCATCAGAAACTTTTGTAAAGCAAAGGTTCTTCCAGCATGTGGAAACTTTTTAAAGACCTCATTGGTAGTAAACACCTTAGCAAAAAAGCATATGTCGATATCTGTGCCTTGAACAAATCATTTTTACGTCAACCAACTTTTTCGACTCCACCCTGTCTACCTGTGTCCAATGAAGAACATTTTCCAGAGTTCACCGCAAACGATGTTTTCAAATGTCTCAAATCCCTAAACCCTTCTCATAGTTCAGATCCGGATGGTATGTCAAGCTTCGTGTTCACGAAATGTGCTAATATTTTATGCTATCCACTAGCTAACTTGTTCAACAGACCGTTTTTAGAAAACACTATGCCAGCTGGCTGGAAAGATGTTAAGAGAGTCCCCATACCTAAGTCTAGGACTCCAGGTGCATGTACAAAATTCCCTCCGGCTTAAGGTACCTCTCCGTTCTTAAAAATGATGGAGAGGCTTATATACCTATGCTCGAGCCCTCACTGAAGGCTTTCGGAGAACCTAATCAGTTTGCATTTGAAAGCAGAAGAAGCACTTTGGATGCCACCACTCTCTTATATCACGATATAGTCTTGATAAAAATGCCAAGTGAGTCAGGTGTGCCTTTCTAGACTACACTTCGGTATTTGACTCTATCCCAAGACCTCTTTTGCTAGACAAGCTAATCGGGACAAATACTGAGTCCAGGATAATAAGCTGGCTGCATTCCTATTTCTCTGATGGGAAATAACATACTGTTTATAGAGGGAAGTCCTCTACCTAATGGCATACTGTGGCTGGAGTTCCCCAAGAGGCCACCCCTTCTACAAATCTTTTCTCATTCTCTCCTCATGACCTACCATCTTTAGCTCGCATAAGTTTCATCAAGTATGCTGATGACTTAACAGTTTCCATACCTGTCTCCTCTTCAGCAGACTGCTCCCAACTGCATGATTTCCTATCTACTGTTAGACGATGGTCCTTCGATAATGGTCTTATGCTGAATCCTTCAGACCATAAACTTTAGTTTTAGACGTGAATATAACTTATGTAAACTGCTTAGTTCTCATGATTCCTGTTCTATTGATAGTTACGAATTAGAAAATGTTACAGATGTGATTATTCTTGATATGTTTTTCTTCGGACCTTTCCAGGTCTTCTCGTATCTCACTAAATTCCAAAAGAATTTTTCGTCTAACTTTCTATACTAGGAAGCTGAAAGTATTTGGCACTACTCAGCCTCTTCTCTTATGTTTTATAAACTCCTGCATCTTGCCTGTCCTCGTCTATTGCTCCCCTTTATTTTTTCCTAGGTTGCTGAAAAAAGACTATTCTAT